TTCATAGAGAGGAGGAGAAACATCAAAGTGACAAAAAGACAAAACGGGGACGAGGACAGAAAAATGATTCACAGATTTAAAGTAGACAGACAGACACAAAGGTAGGGAAAAGGTAAGATTAGTACTGTGGAAGGGGTTGAATATGGCATGCAGTCGGGTCATGGTAGTTTGAAATCAGAAGTCAACTGTCGGTTTATTGACTTTTTTATGTATGAGTATATGTTGTCCAGAGTGCACCACGTGGAGGTAAGTCTATCGCACACCCCATATTTCTTTGATAAGAAACACACAATCCAATTTTTCAATTACTTTATTGATTAAAATTATGTAAAAATTTGTACATTTTAATTTCAGACCACTTAAATAAACATTTCTATCATTGAGCAGAAATCTGCATTCTTTCTGTTGCCTAATACAGACACTAATTTCAGAGCTATGTCGGTCAGATCAAAGTAAAAGACTGTTGTTATCGGCAAAAAAATAAAATTAATTTTTGCATTAGCCCACTCCAGATCTAAAAATAACTTTATAAATTTAGGACTTTAACATGTTATATAAATAGTGTATAATTATTTATGGTTCAATTTAATTTTTTGTTTGATGTTGCTCATCTACTTATTTTTTCCTTCCAATCGTATTTCCGTCTTTTTATAAGCCTCATTTGTCCGTCATTTCCAATCACGTTAAGTCCTGCTCTTCTATAAAATTCTTTTGACTACCTCAAACACAAAGAAGAACGTTAATTAATACAGTCTTTCCCTTTGTATTCTTTCTTCAATTATTTTCTATCGTTTGAGGCCATAACGCAATGTGGGCAATTTGCCATAGTGATGCATGAAGCCACAAAATAATGCTTGGTATTTTATTCTTCAAGATGGGAGCCATAGTAACTACTTATCAGTAAGAAAGATTTCTAGCTGTCCCCTTTATCATTGAAACTAAAACTTGGAGTGCAGATGCGAGGCTATTCATCATAAGTCAAATGTACCATGCATGTTAGATAAGAGCTGCTCACATTAATTTACTTGACTAATTATGACATTTGGAAAGTAAACCACCCAGTTAGCACGATTTCTCGAGTTTCAAAAAACTTCAACTCTAAAACCTCACTCATTTCAAACATCCTTTTCTTAGGCCTACTCTTAATCAGTTTTCTTTGCAAATGACTGAAAATTCTGGAGAGATAAAGTAAAATGTTTCTTTCCCTGTTGAGAGTAAACTGAATATTTAATGAAATTCCTACAATGACACGTCTTAAAAGATCTCAAAAATTAAAGTTAGTACCGGGGTTTTCCGAAACTCCGCCCAGGGCGGTTAGACGCAAAATTCCTTTCATGAAACTATATTTTGGAACAACAATAACCGCCCATCCGAATAAGCGCCCATGGGCGATAATACAGAGGTAAAATATTTCACTTATGATGAAGATATCTATGTATAGCACGAGCGTATTGTGAATTCGGAATGACTCATCCCGTATGGGGAGAGTTAAGCATCAGTCACAAATAGAGATTGCATTTTAACATTTAACCCCAAATTACCCCCCCCCCATTCGAATAACCGCCCACGAGCGATAAAACAGATATTCGGATGGGTGAACTTTCGGAAAATCCCGATAACTGAAAGATGAACGTCAATAACCAAGGATATCAGCTCCTCACATACCTTTGCCAACTGTGTCTCCTTCAAATCTCCACGCCATATTGATTTATCCTTCAGCCAGAAAACATTACTTTCCAAAAGGTCGTCGTAAATGACATCTGATATGTTTGGCGCCGTTTATCTCTTCATCAATCTCATATTTTACATTCCAGGAGGAAAATTCCCAAATGGCAGAAATTTAAATGCACCTTATCCTCTTTAAATAATTTCTCTAATATGGGATTGGGATCATTTTTAGCTGTGACAATCTCCTCTTAGTATTCACACTCCGATATTTTAAGCCGATCAAAAATGGGAAAAATTATCTTAAGTTCAAATTTGTTAAAATCCCTCAAATGTGGTTCGAATGCCAAATATTTACTGTTTATCCACTTGTTTAAACCGGTATTGAGTCGAAACTTTCATTTGGGAAGCATGTCGTGAACGTAAAATGAAAGCATTGAATTTTTGAAGAATTTTCTGATGCCTTGGCCTCAATTGTGGCTTTTCTTCTTCGCTTTGATCCATCAATTAGAATTCGGAACCTGGTTCAGTGTAGATGGAAGAAGTAGATCAACGTTAATTTCTCCAGCGTAGTCAGTAGTTGATCCGTTTTGATTTAAGTCAATAGAAACCCAGTTTGTCCTGAAAGTTTTTACATTTATATCTCCTATCTGTATAAATATGCTCTGAAACTCCATTTGCATGCATTTTATTCGATGGAATCCAAACCGTAACGGTTGTCTAAGAAGATGACTCCCAACATAATTCATTTAAACCATCTTATTCTAGTGAATAGCATTAAAAGCAAAGACCTATTCGAAATTTCCTCCAACTGTCTAATATACTTAATCAGCTCTTAAATTTTCTAGAGTTGAGGTGCTTTTAGATCCAATAGTTCAGAAGAAGGTGACTTCGTAGTATTTCCTGTCAATCAAGCTTAAATTCTACCATATTTAGTCATCTTAGCAATACATTTTTCAACTGAGACTGGCTAATGAATTAAGAATAATTATTTTCTAGTTTTTTCCATAAAATCCTAAAATAAGGAGAATATTTTCACACCATCTCTTCGTTATTTCGTCAAGAAATGTATAGGTTTATCAAGGGAGGCGTCATTAGAAAATCTTTCAGGAGCAACTGAGGTCTCGGGCAAAGAAATATCTCAGTCAATCAACATCACATAATGATCAACGCAGCCAAAACTGTAATCAGTCAGCGACACAACCCAAATAAATGAAATTCCTGTCACACGCCTACATCCTCTACATCGTTGATGCAGCTTAACTAATCTCGAGACCCCATTCAAACTAAGTAATTTCGACCTAGGGGTTACTGAGGATGAATCCAAAATTTTTGGTGCAACAATCCGCCTTATAATTTGTGATCTTGACTTGATTTATCAGACGACTCAATTGTGAGATAGTTACGTGTGAAATGTTGCTACCAGAACAAACCGAACCAACCTCAACGTACCAACTTTGGATAGCCAATAGGATTCAAGGACTCTATATTCATGCGGTTGAACTTCAAATTGCCAGCCCTCTCACTCCACAAAAACCTGACTTTCTTACAAAATTTGCAAAAGGTAGAACCTGTCTTGTCATATATCTCCGATTCACATGATAACGGCCCTTTAAAACACCGAACTAAAATCAGATAACATTATCTGACATGTTGAAAACCCCTATATAATTGAATATCATTCACATTTATTTACTGTACATGTTCGGCCAGTCGAGATTGAAGCATAACTCATCAACCCACTTGATTGCTACTTGCCAGTTTAAACTATTACTAGGATTTGGACAACATAATTAAATCATCGACTTATTAAATTTCTCATCTGCAAGTCCTTTTCGAATGAAGTTAGTAGAGACGTTTAAATTATAGGGATTGTGAGGCAAAGTGCTCTCATATTGTCATAAATGGACCCAGAGCAACTTGATACAACTTTCCTTCTGCTTGAATTATTTCCGACTTCTTTACTATCCCCTGTGAGAGGAAGGGATGGCAGACACGTAAGAAATATAATGCCTAAGCAGCTAAATCTGTTGTAGTGGCTTTGTAGTTTACTTAGGCCAAGCTCTCTCTCCAACTACTTCCGGAATGATGCTGCTAATGCCATTCCACTTCAGTACCATGGTTACAAGCTATTTCTTCATTGTGCACCTTTATTATTGAATTTATCAAAAGTGAGCTTTGCTCTGCTGTTGAAATTACATCTTCAGTCTTCAATTTATTGGTGGCATTTTCTTATGTCCCCACTAATGTAAGTAATGAGGGCTAAGTCTTCCTTGTGTCATTGGTTTACTCTTGTCATTGTACTATACTCCTCAATTCTACACGAATACTTCCTCCCTAGTTATAGGCGTCCCAAAGGCCAATCACATTCATTACAGACTACAAACTGGAAGAGATCGGACGGGCATTGGTTATTGATATAAACAAAACTGATGCTAATCAATACTCTCTTAAGGTAAATCTTGAAAGCCAAGATTAGCATAGAAGAGCGTGAGGGCTCAACATGAATAGAGTTCAATTGGGATGGTACAATAAGTCAACTTTCTACCATTTGGCTTAGCTTAGCAATCGCGATCCAACGAGGACATACATTAAGTGGCATTAAAATTAGTTAGAGATAAACTAATTATCAAAGCTATTAAAAAGAATGCTTCATATTCTAGCTGTATACACATTTGTATGTGTGTCTTCTTTAACATTTAAGCGAATAAAAACGGAACAAAAGCTCTGTTTGTGCAACAAAGATTTTGATATTTATTGCAATGTACAACGTGACGATAAATATCAGTTTACAAAATGAGAAACTCCAAATTCAATTTTATTTCCAGGAAGACCTTGAGGTAGAAGGCAGTTGAGAAATTGGTAAGTCAGAAGGGCCGTAGCCCCGGTAATTCTTTGCGAATCCCTGCAGCCAAAAACTGGAAAGATGCAAGATTGATACGTCTGGGTTTTTCGAGAATTATCGTAAAACGAGACGTTAACTCCACTAGCAGGAAGACTTGGAGGATATCTTTGAACGCAATACCACCGATTTGATGGGTCAGATAACCAATTTATTGATCGAAATAAGGCCATATCTGTCTCTTCAGGACTCAGTTTAAGGCGAATACTTTCAGATTGACGACACAGCACTTCCTTGGAAGAATGGTAATTTCCAACGAAGCCAACAATTGGATAAATAAGACTAAGTGCTGTCTAAATTAAAAAAAATAAATTATACTATTTTTATTTTGTTAGTAGAAGCTGTTTTAATAAAATGCGCTTACTCTAGTATGAACAGGGGCGAAAATTGTCCAGGTGTCGACGAAATGGGAGGGGATTCCCACTTCTTCATTCAGTTCTCTAAAAGCGGCTTCAATTGCACTCTCTCCCGGGTCTATCTTACCACCTGGAAAGCTATGAAAACATATTAAAATCTGTGAATTGAATAAAATCAGATGAATTGGCGTTAGACTTACCAAACTTCGCCAGGAAAGTGATGAACAAAGAGACTGCGTCTGGTATAAAGAATTGAAGGTACGCCATCATAAGAAACGAGCGGAACAACAACAGCAGATTGAAATTCTACTGCGCTATTACTTCGGGAAAACGTTTTGAGTTGATTTAGTGAACTAATACAGCGTCGTCGATTAGCCAAACCGAACAGCTCAGGCAGTGCTGGCATTAATTGTTATTATTAGAAAGTTGGAGCGTTTGAATAGAGTTTAAAAGAATTTCCGGGAAGTTATACATCCACGATAAATTATATCAGTCGATTGGTTAAAATTTCTGTATGAACTTCGATCTATATTAGCATCTGGTAAGGTTACAGATATATGCGAAATAATAAGTAAGTGTTTATAATATTCAATATTCGATCAGCTGTGTAGATACAGCCAATCTTAGTTAAATTCAAAGGGATTCCAATCTGTTCAATAAAACTATAAATTCACTCTTTTGGCCTTCATAGTATAAATGTCAAATATATAAATTACTAGATATATTTATATTATATATATGTGTTTATATATTATATTAATATATTTATATTTCCATAAATTAATATGCTTTTCACGGGGTGTGCGATAGACTTACCTCCTCGTGGTGCACCCTGGGCAACGTATACTCATACGGCAAAAAAGTCTATTATTCGGCAGTTGACTTCTGACTTCAAACTTCCATGACCCCACTGTATGTCATATTCGACTACCTTCACAGTACTCATCCCACCTTTTTTCCACCTTATCTACATTCGTCTTTGATACACTCTTCTGCCCCTCTCTTGAATTTTTTATACTTTGATGTTCCTTCCCCTCTGTGAAGCCTGAAGTCAACTAAAGGGCTAATGATAACAATCAAAACGCCTGCCATTTGATCTAAAATATGCTTTTCACAGTTATCCTTCAGGCAGTAAGAATGCCATCACTTTCTAAGACCGTAGGTCCTTTAAGGTTGTTCAAAGTTGCCTTTAGTATTACGAAAATTACTAAAGCACAAAGTAACTGTGATTTTTTAGGGAACGAACCAATGGCGTTATTATTAGCAAAACAATTAGTTCACATATCTCGGAATGACGTTTGACACAACGCTAACGTGGAAAAGTCACATTGCTAAAATAGCAGAACGAGTCTCCAATAGACTGAATGTACTGAAGCGTCTTGCTGGTAGCGTATGGGGCTGTGCACGCTCAACTCTCAACACCACTTACAAGATGTTTATACAGCAAATAATGTTATATTGCTGTGAGCCACTCATTACAGCCACAAAGGTGACTCTCAAACCACTCGAGAAGGCACAAAACCAAGCATTACGACTAATTACTATTGGGATAAAATCAACACCCATTGGTGCAATGCTCCTGGTTACAGGTAGCACCAAAATATGTTCCCTTATCAAGGAGAAGGCCTTGATCCTGTATGAGAAGCTACTGCGCATTCCCATGGATAAGTTCTTCAGCACCTATGAGAATAGACCAAGACATCTGAAAACGAAATCTTGTCTAATATTTATTTATTTCAAATGGCAGGCATCTTGATGGTCATCATTAGCCCTTTAGTTGACTTCTGGCTGCACAGAGGGG